TTCCGCAATAAATTATTACCTTTTTTACAGTGATTATCTCCTCTTAGTTTCGGCGTGACTGTAGGATGTTATACTGAGTCACCGTCAGTTACTAAGCGACCATAAATCATTATATGTATGTATAGACATACAAATATACATTTTTTGATTTTAATATTTGTTTTTTTGAATTTTGATTGATTTTTGAAACCTGGTAAAATTATTTTTTCCATACCAATTGATTGGCCTGAGTATAATGCCAGTTATGCTCTTTGGCTTATATTTTATTTTATGCTCAATTGCAGACAAAACAATATTGATTGCGCATTTCTAAAGCAAAATTTTACCTCTTCTCCTTCTAATAATAGCTCCTGCACCTAACACTAGTTATTAATATCTATAAGACTATTTGCAGAAACGGTTTTTGTTAACAGTTATGAGTATAACGTTTTTATCAGCTGCTTTGTTTATAGTGCCTTGAGCAACACTTTGCCGGTTTCTGTACAGAAAATGATGCTGGCTTTGCAAATATGGATGGCCGCTACCATTGAATATAATACCCGCTATGTTATATTAACAGTGGTAGAGCCACGCGGCAGCTTTTGCTGCCGCACGGATGGGCCGGCTCGAACCGGGGTGGTACCACGACCTCACAGAAAACCAGCGTGAAGTAGAGGTTTACCTCTGCGTTTCACTTGGTGAGTGCAGGTGGCCGGAGGCCCTTTTTACTGGAAATGAGGCATTCCATCTTAGTCCCCACGGGTGATAACGCATCTACATTTTGAGTTGTAATAGAGGATAGATGTAGATGTCTATGGGCCGCAGTAACCACTTACCATCAGGTGGACTGTGTGCTCGTTTGTCACCCTTATCCTATAAAAAAATGTTACACTAATTTACATAGAAACTTTAATTATCATTTGCATAAAATTCTAAATAGCACTTTTTACACAAGAAAGTAAACTTTTAGATCAGTCCATCTTGTTTTCCACTAATTAAGTGAAAAGTAAAACAAACCAATAGGTCCGTGATTTAAAATTTCTTGCAACTATTTATAAAAAAGCATGATATAATGGTCAATCATTTAGCCATGTGATAAAACTTTTAAGTGTGCCAGTCAAACATTAATGGTGATATTCGTGTCATTATACTGGAAATAGTCTTTTAAATATTTTGTAGTACAATTGATAATCTTCAGTATGATTGACCGTGTATATGACTTTTATAAGTCTATGTTATTTTTGATGAAAATTATTATTGCAAATAAAAGCCCTTTCACATTCATTTTAGTCTCGAATTAAATTAATCAAAATGAAAATAATAACTTTGGCTCTTTATAACTGATCTTTAAATGTAAAACACTGACTTGAAATTATATAATTATCGGTACTTTTTTAATTCATTGAACTTCTTTAAGATTGTGTTGAAACTCTACTGGTAAAAAAAAAACAAATATATATATTATAGTTCTTGATGAAAATAAAGTATGCGCGTTACATCGCATCCCATCAAGAATTTCTAATGTAATTCTTGGTGTAAAGCTAAGACGTGATAATAACTGTAAACAATAGAATAACAAAATAATGAAAACATTTTTAAATACTTGCTTTATAACCTCATAAATATTATTTGACGGTAATAAAATAAGACAAGGTAGTCTTCGGCATGAAAGTTAAAATAAATATCTTCGATTATTTTTGCAATATCTAATAGCCGGATCAGCGCGCGATTCTGATCCATCTAAAGATGCTAAATTTCAGCAAGCATTGTCAAATTCAATAGGAGTGACAGAAAAATCGCTTCTTGATATACAAGGGCAAACAAATTATTTAACCTGTCAACATATAAAGTAAAATAACTTTATTAAAAATCAAAAAAACCCAATAGCTTTATTAACATGAGACAAATAAATGTACGAGTGCTTACAATACTTAACATTATTTTACTGAAATCTCAGAAACTTTTTCAATAGAATAAGGGTGACAAACGAGCACACAGTCCACCTGATGGTAAGTGATTGCTACGGCCCATAGACATCTACATCTATTCTCGATTACGTATCAAAATGTAGATGCGTTGTCACCCGTGAGGACTAAGATGTAATGCCTCGTTTCCAGTAAAAAGGATCTCCGGTTCTCTACACTCACCATACGAAACACAGCAGGGTAAAACTGCTATTTTACATGGTATACCGTGAGAGCGTGGCCCTTCCCCGGTCGAGCCGACCCATTCGTGCTACAACTATACCTACTACTAATATAGCTGCAGCATGGCTCTACCACGTAAGAAAAAATTAACGTTGAAAATTTAAGTATTTTCAGAAGCAACTTTGCAATTATTTTCTATTGAGTGAATTTTTGTGGAATCGTGTTTTGCAAACCGCCACCTGAAATACGTACAATTTTTTTTTTCGATAACGACGTGAAATTACAAAACGATCCTCATGCATATCAATGTGGCTCTATTCAGCCTCTTAATATAAACATACCTCGGGATTCAGAGATTTTAAAAGTTTTCATGCGTAGATAATGGAAGATATAATATTATATTATTACTGTCCCGTGTGAGGTAACCTTTATACTTATATACATATTCTCATCATATTTTTATGGTTGGTTAGAAAAATTATATTTAAATGCAAACTTTCACAGGGTAAATTTTTTTTTACTATTCGTACCCAGCAAGTAGTACAGCAACTACAATCACATCGGTAAGTGGTTATGTAGCCTAAGATGGTGAATTGCACTGACTTAACAAAAACCTATTCACTCTTGCCTAATAGTACTAGGTAACTATTATTCGTGACCTATTTGTGTGTGTGTGTGTGTGTGCGTGTGTGTGTGTGTGTTTGTGTGTGGATGTGTAAAGAAAAGCGTATTAGAATACGTGAAGAGGAATAAAGGTTGAGTACTACTTCGCTTATCTGTACGAGGTTGCCACTCGAGAACCTTTCTTTCTATTTTTTATCGGTTTTCCAAGTTATATAGCAGCCCATTGCCATTTCACTTTAATATTCCGTTGGGCTACGTCAGTTACTCTGGTTCTACTGCGAATATCTTCATTTCTAACTTTATCACGTAGAGAAACCCCTCTCCAAAAATTATAATTTTTACATTTTTAGATGATAGTTTGTCTAACATAAAAAAAACCATAAACCCAAGAATGTCTTTATATAGTTATTTATACTTAGGGAAGCACCATTTTTCATTTATTTAAATTGTTTGATTTCATTTGATCACAGTGTACCTAAATGTAAGTATCTGTATCTATATTTCCCTCTCCAATAATATTTTACAAAGTCATACTCATAAAAACAGCGTTTTATTGTAATACATAATTATAAAATTCAGTATCAACTAATTAATTAATAAAAATATGCAACAATAAAATTACATAGGTATTAAAAACTATCGAAATCTAAGTAACGAGAGCATATTCGTCGTTCCACATCTAAATTATATAAAAATGCATTTTTCAATTTCACAAATCAACGTCGCCGCGAAAATTTCTTCTTTTTTGGGCACTTTAAAAATTAATTTATTTAGAAAATAATATTTACAGTTACCAGTGTACAGATATTAACTAAATTAAGTATTTCTAGTCATAAAAATATTTATAATTGAGTATAAACTTTTAAAAAACTAATATATATTTGAACGAAGTCGCTCCAACACCGACGCGCGGTCCACCCTCGACGATGTCCGAAAACGGACTCACAAATTATAAAGTTGTATGAACGGACTGTGACAGGGCGACGGAGCATGCGCGCTCGCGTAAATATATTCAATTTCAGGGAAAAATGATATATTCTCTTATAAAACGGGGAATAAAAATAAAACTCTCAATTAAAAATATTAATATTTTTAAGACCTTTTTTTAGTGTAAGAACTATTTAAAAAGCTTGTGCCGTTTTGGAGAAATTTTGCAAAATATGTCAAAGATAGGTACTCTTTGGGGATTTTTTTTCTAATAATGGGTTGACAAAAATACAATTTTGTTCAATTAAAAACATTTATCAATCCTCTACTGTTACCCTGTATTTTTTCTTTGTGGATTAAATAGACAGTTATTGAGATTTTTTTACTTAAATATCCAAGATTTAGGCATTTCAACCACTGTTAAGGCCTTAATATTTAGCACTCGACAAACAGATCCATGTGCGATATTATTACCGTTATGCTTTTGTTTCAGAAGAAATAGAAAAACTTGAACGTAATAAACATGAAATTTGGTTAGAGAATACGCGACATTGATACCCGAATTAAAACAAAACAATATTAAATCTAAAGAGCATTTTTAGATGAATATTGTTACGAGCTTGGGGTTCGAGACAATTAAAACTACCGAGTCAATTACCAAAATTGATACTCTAATTACAACAAAACACATTTGTACTACTGATCACTTTAGTTCGCAGTTGTATCGTTTCGAAGTATTCGCTTGTATCGCCATCAACACTGTCTCCGGTCGCGGTCTATACTGGCCTTATATAAGGCCTCAGATAGTTCCAGAATCTTCTACTTTAGAAACATCTAGAATGTTCGATTACATACCGGTCTCGCTTGACTAGGTCAATAGTTCTAGAAAGTCCATCCATGGAAATTTTTAGAAGAATCTGACTCTCCTAGTTCTGCTACTCGATACTAGATGACGCTAGTGCTAAAAGTCCCGAGCATTATCGGACCCTTAATATCGCGTCGTTCGATCCACATGGACGATCTTAGGAGTACCTCTTGCACCTTTTTGTATTCGGTAGGTTACGTCAATGATCCTTGTCACAATCCGGTACGGTCCATCCCATTTAGCTTGAAGCTTAGGAGATTTCTCTTTGCTGCGAACTGGATTGTGCAACCACACTAGTGAACCTTCGTCGAACTCTTTGTTGTTCATTTTGCGGTCATACCGGGTTTTCATCTTTTGAGACATTTGCCCCGATTGTCGACGTGCTCATAAACATAATTCCTTTTGTTTTGCAAGTCATTTGCATAAACATACGGCGCATAACTATACGGCGTGAGGCATCAGGTAGTATTCCGGTGATCAGGTCTGCAGGCAGCCGTAAATCTCTTCCAAAGTTTGCAACAGCTGGTGTCAGTGTCACTGATGTACTTTTGTGTACAGTGCTTTGATGACAACAAAAACGGTTGTATATGCTTATTCCAGTCACTTTGCCGATTTTCCAAAACTTTTGCTAGGTACCTCTCCAATGTCTGATTAAATCGTTGTACCATTTCATCAGATTGTGGGTGGTGAGAAGTTGTTCTTGTTTTATGAGTACCCATAACTCGGCAAGTTTCCTGGAATATTTGAGACTCAAAATTCCTTCCTTGATCGCTGTGAATCTCTAAAGGTACTCCAAAGCGACAGTTGGCTTCATGAACTAGTTTATCTGTAACCGTTGAAGCTTCTTGATTTGGGATGGCGAAGACTTCTAGCCACTTAGTGAAGTAATCCATCACAACCATAAAATACCTGTTACGACTTTCAATTTCTAGAAACGGCCCCGCAACATCAAGGGCTATCCTCTCCCATGGTGCACCAACGTTGTACAATCTCAGTGAACCTCTACTACGAGTCTGAGGTCCCTTTATAGCCTCACAATTTGTACATTTGTGACACCAGTCCTCGACATCGTCACGACAGTGGACCCAGTAAAACCGTTCTCGGAACTCCCAGATGACTTCCTGAACAACCATTATGGTACAGCTGTAGAACGTCTTCCCGACCATTTTTCCATTTACGGCAAAGGACTCCATCCTGAATCAGCAAGCTGTCCTATTGGACCCAATAGCTTTTCATGGTCGAACTCATCGTTGAGACGTCGCTCCACTTGGGCTTAGGAGCACTGGCCTTTATCCATTCCAGAATCGGCTTGATGTCCGAATCTTCATGTTGTGCATGTTGTAGGCTGTCCTTTCACTCATTGCTGAGCTGGTCTCTACTGAGCATCCCCACCACTTCCTTATCCTCTGGCCTAGAACAATGCTTGCAATCTTCAGGAAAAGGTATTCTTGACAATGCATCTGCGTTCCCATGAGATTTCCCGCTGCGATGTTCGATCACAAAGTCGTATTCCTTTGTCCATGTCCTTCTGGATTTTTGAATTGCAATAGCCATTTCAGTGCAGCATGGTCAGTTCGTAAGTGGAATTTCCGCCCTAGAAGATATTTGCTAAAATGCTGCAAGGACTTTACCACAGCAAGCAATTCCCGTCTTGTGACACAATAGTTCCTTTCCGGCTTTGACAACAACTTGCTGAAGTACGCTATCACAATGTCTTGATCACCATTCCGTTGAGACAACACACCGCCAAGTCCTATATCACTTGCGTCTGTGTCAACTATGAATTTTGTACCTCTACTGGAGAGAATTGAGGTCTTCAGCGGCATGTAGCTCGAGCGCCTTCTCAAAATTCGTTGCCAGCTCTCAGACTATTTTCATTATTACGCATAATAGTCAGTATTTGAGGGAACCACGTAAAAGTTTGGTCGGTCGGTCGGAGCGAGAGAAAAATCGGAGGTTTTAGACAATATTGAAGGTGATATAGAAAAAAGTCAAAAGATAAATCTTATTACATATTTTTAGAGGATTCTGATTCTTCTGTTGCAAGTGCCGAAAATACAGGATCTACTGGCAGCGCCGCTGACTACAAAACATTGCAATATATGCTTATACTACAATCAAAACAATATTTTTCAAATACAACCCCTGTTTGCCCAGTTCTGCCCCTGTGGAGTGACTCTTCTCATTTGGGTGCATGATAATGAGGCCTCATCGAAGAAAAATGAGTGAAGTGAGTGATAAACTGTTTGAAGTACTGGTTTTACTTAAGTCTCAATTAAAACCTTAAAAATATAATATTCTGTTGTGTCACGAATGCGCGATCAACGCGATTTACATGTAAAAAAATAAACTCATTAAAAAAATGTTGTTTTTTTACAAAAGTATTTTATCTATAAAAAGTATTCCAAAGATACGTATTTTATACCTAGTATTTCAGATACCATTCCAGAAAGTTATTTGCGTCTAGTATCTGAAATACTTAATTTAAAACTGTGGCCAAGGAGATCATAATATAATATAGGGAGTGAGCGCTTAGAACATTGTAACCGTTCCTCATTTTTCTTAGAAAGAGAGTTTTGTATTTTATCTCCTTCTAACATTGATAAATGTTTACACAAAATAAAAACATTACCAACGTTTTGACAGTTATTGATTTAAAGTAATATTTTAGAACTATAATCTTACATTTTTTATGGCTAATCATAGTTGGAATATTCCATATTGTATTTCAATTAAGCATATTATTAAGTAACATGAAAAAAAACACTAAACACGAATGTTCTTTCCCTAAAAACTATATGCGATGTGCTATCTATTATCTATATATATATATATATATATATATATATATATATATATATATATATATATATATATATATATATATATATATAATATATATAACTATGTGCATTTTACGCTATAGATGAAAAAACTATTTTAAATTTTGACGTTGTCAAATGAAAGAATATATTGTTTTTTTTTTTAATAAGATGAGTGATGGTAAGTGTTTGCTGTGGCCCATAGACATCTACATCTATCCTCGTTTGCGAATCAAAATGCAGATGCGTTGTCACCCGTGAGGACAAAGATGAAATGCCTTTTTTCCAGTAAAAAGGGTCTCCGGTGGTTAGGTGTCTACACTCACCATACGAAACACATCAGTGTTGAGCTGCTATTTTACGCTGGTATTCTGTGAGTGCGTGGTCCTTCTCCGGTCGAGCCGACCCATTATATTATTAATATAGCTGCAGCATGGCTCTACCACGTAGAAAACGCCTTGTGCTAATCATTCGCTAAATCTATTTTGAGTGCACTCACTTGGGGAGCGTTAATTCAAGTTTAACTTTTTTTCGGAACAGTAAAAAGAGCTTACAAGTTCTTTTCATTATCCACACGCCAATGGGAAACTTTAATGAAAAGCGTAGGCGTATTCGCCAAAAGACTTTCAGAGACAAGATGGATTGCTCATCATGACGCTGTTAAACCACTGCAGAATAATTAAAAAAAAAACTAGTATAAACCCTCTAAAATATATATGATCCCAGCACCAACAGAGAAAACGTCGATACAAAAGAAGCAGCATCTACACTCTTACCAGCTTTGTGTGACTTCACTTTTTTATGTTATCTTACTTTTGGTGTAAAATCCTAAAAGAAGTTAGTCAGACCCAAAAGTAAATACTAAATAATAAAATAGCTATCTAGATTATCACTGGAAAAGTATGTGATAAAAATCAAAGCCCAAAAATTATTCTTCAAAGCCATCGTATTCAACTAGTGGAAAAAGCTATTTCCTACGTAACAAAGAATGTGAGAATGTGGACGTTTCGATTGAAGGAAGAAGAGGAATGAGGAGATTTCGAAAATCAGCTGTGCGAAGCTAATTCAACAACAAAGATATTAATTAATTTGCAGCCACCCGCTAACTAAATACAATGAAGTGAAGTCCCTCAATTGTTTCATTATTGTTTTATTCTCTTAGCGAGTTCACGTTGATTACAACGCTCGTCAAATATCATCTATATTGGTGAGTTTAATCTTTTTTTTTTTACTATTTAGTAATTCAGCCACCATTACCTTTTTTTGACTTCATACTTGTTTTTGTTAATTGCAGATCATGGCCAACACTGAGGAACACAATGATTCTAATCCTATCACTAATCCGTATTACTATGCACAGGATGTGGATAAATTTACACTAAATTATTACAACTGAAAGGAGCAGCTTCACGATTTACCACCAAATAGAATAGCTATTAATGAAGAGCGGCAATCGAAATCAAAGAAATGTTACAGGAAGAGAAACCGTTCTCAAGAATCATCATCATCATCATACATTATGATATATATATATATATAAAGATAAACGAGGCCATCGTCTGATTAAAATCACCATTTGCGAACTTAACGAGCAAGAAGAAAATATCATCCACGATCTTAGTGCTAATATAAGTGTTCAATATGTTGTGGATTCAATGTATGATGAAGTGTTAGATGCTACAAGTTGTTGAAAAATTATGTGAGAACTAGTAATTTAAGTAATGTAGCTTGTAAAATATAATAAAAGTTATACATTGAATTTTATTGTTGTTTTATTATGTATCATTATTATTCAATTGTGTAGAGGAAAAAAGAAAAGACATTGTTACAACGAATGTATTTATTAAAACTAAATATTTATTTATTTTAAATTAATATAAAGCTATAAACATGATAATACATGTAACTTAAGCTATACATTTATCTCTTACTTACTTATACAGTACATAGTAGTAGCATTACATAGTTTTACATTCAAATTTATTAAAATATAGTTTATAGTGTCCCCACGGTAACGTATTGTAGCCATCTGCCATCATTTGTCTTTTGTCATCATCTCTATTAAGTACGAGTTTATCAACTATTTGAGTAAATATTTGATGAATCTTTGATCTAATTATACACATACTCTTTCTAAAGTTTTCATTAGACCATAACGCTCGTTTATATTTTTCAATATTAAGATTTTTAGTAACAGATTTTTTAATACCCTTAGCTTTTCTTATTGAGGTTGTTTTAGAATCAATACAATATAATTTCGCTCTTAATCCAACAAATACAGTTATTATATCACCATCTATTTTCTCTTTGAAAAACCCTGGAATTTTACTATTTACTTTGGACATATCATACTGATTGTTTTTGAAATTACTTGTATCAAAATATTTTATATTTTTTTTTCATGTTTTCATAAAAATCATTTGTATTTGTTAGATACAGCAGATTATCAGTATCAGTATAACAGAGTTGCAGTGATTTTTATACATGCGTTTCATTATAGAGTAATGAAAATGATATAAATGACTCCTAGCTAAATCCAGAATTGAAAACCCAATGTAAATTGGGCAATCAAGGATATTTTTTGTTAGTTCTAACTGGATTGCTATTGCTACTGGAATCTGAAATTATTGACAAACTTTTAAAATTAGGAGCACTTACATAATTTCCAGCTCCACATAGTTTATTAGTCTTATTGGATGTATCTTTCCATACATTAACTAATTTTACATCGACTTGTTTTTTCGTTTATTCTCTATTGTCTTTCCAAAAATAGAATTGTTCTGTTTTTTTAAAAAAATCTCTTTCAAAGTCTGAAACAGCGTTTTGTCTAAGTGTTGTATTTAATAAAATATATGGTGCTAAAAATGCATTTTGACTAAATAACAATATCTTATAAACTTTGAGCAAAATGAGTCCATGACGTAAACATTCTTTTAAATGCTGATAATGAATAACATATTTACATTTATCGTACAAACTAGCTATTAATTTTTTATGTTTGCTTCCTGGCGGAGCAAACTTTTCTGCTGCAAATGATAAATCTGAATGATCATCATGTATTTCAATTGAATAGTGCAAGTCTACTTCAAGAATATACCCAATATCACTATCATCAGGAACACTCATTACATCAAATTGATTAACTTCTTTTTCACTTAGGAATTTAAGGTTCCCCGTTGGTAACTTTTGCATCATAGCAAAGCCATATAAATTTACACAATCAAGATAAACTAAAAAATTGTTTTTATCCTTGCTGTCATAATAAGACTAATTGTAACTAATGTATTTATTGTTTGCTTTTGCATATCTTA